TCAGCAATTTAGGGAGGCCCTAAGCACCTTGGTGAGACCCTGTCTCAAAATAAATGATTAAAAAGGGATAGGGATATGGCTCAGTGATAAACTGCCCCTGGGTTCAATCCCTGGTACCAAAAAAAAAAAATGAAATTGAAAAGTTATGTAAAGTACATAAAAATCAAACTTCAAATTTGGTAAGAAAGTAATTTTAAACACTGGTTTTTAAAAGTGTTTAAATATTAGTTTCAGATAATGAATATAGACAAGGAGATTAAGGAGAACTGTTGTCTTAGGAACAGACTATAATTCCATAAAGAAAAATCAAGGTATTGTTTCTCCTTATATTTAAGCCACAATGACGTGCAGACAGAACTCTAGAACTAATTCCAGTACTCTGGTTCTACAAGTACTAACAGGCTATAGACACCAGTTAATAACCTGCCTGGAGCTTTGACCTTGAAAATTAATGGCAGCTGTGAAATGATGTGACCAAACCAAGATATAATTCCTTACAAAAGCAAATCCCAACCGATATCAAGAAGAAAAAGAAAATATATGACCTTATTTTAAGAACACAATTTCGTCACAAGGATATTTTTACACACTAACCCTCACTAATGTACACTTAATTCTTCATAGATCCAGAAGTGCAACAGGTGACTAAGACGATGAGTAACAACACGATGGTAATAACAAATCCCAAACTTGGCAGCCTAACAGATGACTATGATGTACTAAACTAATAAACTTTTAATAAGCAGAATGTCTCCAATCTGTCCTTCATCCTTCATGTTTCTCCTCTTAGACCCTCAGTTCACAATTCATTTTCATCCATTTCTGTAGGAAGAGGGCTTTGGGTAGAACAGGATGAACAGCTGCCATTCTCAGGTATGGGTGTCTGTGCTGGCCAGTTTTCCTGCAAGAGCGGTCTTGGAGAAAAAAGAAATTGTGTCTCAAACCATTCCAGTGACTCTCCATCTTCCTTCTCCAACAGGAACTGATACTCACCGAATCTGACCATGCACCGGTAGGGCAAGTCCATTTTATTTAGGTAGCCTAGCACCTGGCTGTCCACAATCAGACTGGTCTTCCTGCTCATATTTTTAATTTCAAAAGAGAGAACTGAGCTGTTAAACTGTTTAAATGGCTGCAGAGAAAACTGGATTCGTGAAGCCTGTTTGTCCTGAAAAACATAATGACAGATGTTGGAATTCCGTCCAAATTTTATCACTTCGGTGGAAGGGAATTTCTGTCTATCATAAAATGTTCTGGATTGAAATATTCCACTTTGCAACTGGCCAGGATGATAAACAGTCATGTGGAGACAAGTTACTGTCTCTTCTGTGTCGGCATCTTCAAAAGTAGACATGATGTGCACCAAAAGATCAGCCTGCAACAGTTAAACCACCAGAGTTAGTTCATATCGCTGAGAACTTTGATTCTAGTATTCTGATGGAAACTTTTTGATAGATGATAATACACAGGACCCTCTCAATTAGCTAATGCATGTGTGTAATCTTACACCAAGCCCTATCGGAACTGGTGTCTTACCTTTTGCTATCTCTATTTTTCATTTCTAGTTTGACCCTAAGACCATACATATAATCTGGACATTAGCAAGTAATGATTATTGACAACATAGTGACATGGAAATTTCAGATCCATTCTCATTGAAATAGAATAACTTTAGCCCAGATAAAATATGACAGTTGTACTTTAAAAAGAAAATTGGGAAATAAAAAAATCTCTGGTTTGAATACCCTGAGAGGATGTACTCATTAAACCTACACTTTATTAACTGTATTATGATATCATTAGATATTGTGAAATCTGATTAAATAAGAAATTTGTTATAAACAAATAATTGAAATCTTGTTCCTTATAGCCTCACTTAGAGTTCCAATAGTTAAATGACTGAAAATAGTAAATGCTTTCAACAGTTATCATATTCTTTAATTTTAAATTTAGACATTACACACTTAAAATAAATCTCCACAAGGTAGTTCTAAATATCATGGTCTGCACTGGTACTGGAGTTGTTTATTTCTGTGGATGGTTTTTAGCAACTGGATGCTTTTTGGTCATTAACCACAAGCAACAAACCAACTGCTGTTAACCACATCCTTATAGCCCCGAGCCTTCGGATGCCCTCCAACTACACTTCCCTATGTTCACTTTTGATAATCAGAGTATTTAAAGTAGTACAACCAGAGAAGAGAAATAACTGATAAAAATTTTTTACGTTATTTTAACATGAAACTGCCATTTCAAAACTAGTTTAGTTTTAAAATTACATGCATATGATTTGAAAATTCAAACAATAAAACAAGAATTTAGAAGTCTCTTTCCACACCCTAACCCTTTGTCTTTCTCTCCTAGAGTTTATCAAGATTACTTTTAACCAACCTTTAAAAAGTTGGTTCTTGCTAGCATAAGCATGCATACACACACACACACACACACACACACACACACACACACACTCACACCAGCATGAGCATGCACACACATGTGCCACATGTGCATGTTTCTCTTTAAGGTCTTTCACAAATATAAATATAGTAGATTTAGTTCTGGAATTTTCATTGTTTCCTTAAGAGTGTACATGGGTGATTTTTTTTCCACCTCTACCCATCTCAATATAGCTCACTCCTTAATAGCTCCATAGAGTTCCTTTCATCTGAGTTGTGATGAGGTGTAGAGAGATGCTAAGCATCCCCTGCTTTTCTTGTGTGCTTCTTGCTTATATTGCTGGACCTTTGCTTATACTAGTTTGGGGTTTTGACACCAATAATCTTAAGTGAGATTGATTTTTAGTTTAGATTTCATTATCTTTTGTTTGCCATCTACATTAAATGTTGGTATCAAAACTATACTGGTCTGAAAAAGAAAAAAAACAGAATACTTTATTCCCTTTCCGTTTGTTGCTATTTACTTTTTAAATATTTATCCTTAAGTTTTAGGTGGACACAATATCTTTATTTTACATTTACGTGGCACTGAGGATCGAACCCAGTGCCTCGTGCATGCACTGGGTTTTTTTATTAAGGATAAATATTTAAAAAGTAAATAGCAACAAACGGAAAGGGAATAAAGTATTCTGTTTTTTTTCTTTTTCAGACCAGTATAGTGAGCACTCTATCACTAAGCCACAACCCCAGCCCCTGCTATTTACTTTTAAAATAGAATCTTTTCTTCTGTTTTGCAATGTTATGCTGCTAAAATCAAAATTAATTCACTTCACTATTCAACAAGTGGCAGAGCTGAGCAAGATTACTATTTTTTACTTGGAAATGCATCTTTATCTTTACAGTTTCATTCATCATATAGTTCTTGGACATTGTAACATCATATTGGACTACCCAAAGAGAAAAGAAATGTCCAGTTATAAGTAGAAAAAGTGAGAGAAACCCTCAAAATCCCGGGCCAAGAGTGACAAAAATAACCATGAAACCAAAGCCTGCAAGAATTAACACACAATGAATAGAACTGGTTGATCCATCCTACACTGTGATTTGAAGATGCTTTAATTAGGATAATAAAGTCTCATTATTCAAGAAGTAGACAGCATAAGAGAGAATAATTATAATAAGTCGTAGGATGATGCAATTAGCAATTAACAAGAAAAAATGTGCTATTGTGATATCTGGGTAATTTTCAATTTCCTCCTAGGTTTTCCTATTTGTTTTAAAATTTTCTACAATAAACATGTATTACACTTGCAATATTAAAAAATCAAAATTAAAGAAAAAAATTTAAAACAAAGAATTTGCTCTTAACATTCAGTAAATAAAGAAGAGCAAGAATCTGTCTGTGACCTCCAGCTCTGTCTGGGATAAGCTGCCATTATTCATTCCTCGGCTTTGGACAGTTCCAAAAAAAGAACTGGATTTAAACATTCTGTATTCCCTATATAAACAGACTTTTTGTGGACAGCCAATTTTTGGTTTTGGATTTCTATATAAGCTCTTAGCTTATAATTCTGTCTTTTGAGCAAATTCACCACCAAGAAAAGTTTGCTCCATGTAGGCTTTTACACCTTGTACCCAGGGAAGATATATTATCCAAGGGAAAAAATAGGCATTCTGGTTTGTAAATCAAGGTCTATAAGCAGGTCAGTGTGAATCAATTCGTATAGGGTTTGATGAACCTATGAGCACACAATAGTGACTCCTTCCAACACAAACTGTCAAGTATTTGCTACCTCTTCCTCCCAGGCCTACCCCTCCCAGTTCTGATCCATTAGAAAGATGACTGGTCTACTCCTTCAGAATGGTGATTCACCCCTTAAGAATCATGTCAACATGAATGGAAATTTAACGTTTAAGAAGAATTTGGGGGAGGGGAGTATCAGGGATTGAACCCAGAAGCGCTTAACCTCTGATCTATACTCCCAGCCTTTTTAATTTTTTATTGAGACGGGATCTTGCTAAGTTGCTTAGGGTCTCACCAAATTGCTGAGGCTAGCCTCGAATGTTCAATCCTCTTGCCTCAGCCTCCTGAGTCCCTGGAATTACAGGTGTGCACCACCAGGCCAGGCTCCAAGCAGAAGCTTTAAAAGCTACTGTATACTTGCATCTTCTCTCTTTCCTTTGTTACATCAGAAGTTTCCAAAAGTTAATGATCAACCTGGGTCCTGGAGGGAAGGGCTAGAGACAGATACATAGAGAACATAACATAAGCAAAAAAAAAATCAACCCTTCTTCTCTGAAATTTTTGGCGTTATTTGTTACTGCACCATAAAGTGGCCTGAGCTGACAAATGCATTTACCTATCTTTCAAAGGTAAGAAAGGACTGACAACAAGGGTTCTTACTTACTACATATGTCTTACATGTGCCAAGCACTGCGCTAAGCCTCCACTTCATCTTTCCTAATGTGCAAAAGAACCCTATGATCCACCATTTCACAGATGAGCGACATGAATCTCAAAGGATTTAAATACTAGCCTATTCACAAATGCAGTGTCAAGGGCAGGATTCAAACTCTAATGCTCCCTCACTTACCATTACAAGTTCTACCTCCTTGGTTACCAGTTCCTTCACAAACTATAGCGGTTAATCTAAAAAGAAGGAGGACTTGGGAATGTGTGTTCTATAGCCAGCAAGCCACCAACCTAGACTCTAGTTTTTTGGGGAAGGGAAATATGGTTATTAGCACTGCCTCGTTAGAGGAATATGCTCTGAAGCACCAGGTTACCATCAATATCAGTTATTCTGAAACCTGTGTATAAAAATTATGAGTATGGACCTGGTACACACCAGCAACTGTGGCAGGTTGTTTGGGGAGCATCAAAGTTGCTCTAGTCTCTGATCTAATCTGATTGAAGCTGCTCTGACCATAGTCTCTGATTTCAAGGAACTCAGAAACTAACATATTTGTTACAAAGTAGCCTGGATCCCTGGCATTTCAAAGTAGTCAAAAGGAAAACAGAAAGGGCAGAAACTAACAAATAACTAAAATAATAAATTTTAGATTAGTGGATCTTTACAAAAATCTCCTGTGCAGATGCTCAAAAAAGCTTTTTGAAATCTGTGAGACTACCAAATGAACAGAAGGACAATGAGCTTAGATAGTGAAAACAGTAGAGTGGGTATCTCTAAGGAGGGAAACAGGCCAAGGGTAGGAAGGAGACTTAATTTTCACCGTATACTTTGAAATTTTGGGATTTTACACTAAGTGCATTAAGATCTATACAAGCACAGCCCAGCCCAGTGTCACATGCCTGTAATCCTAGCTGCTCTGGAGGCTGAGGCAGAAGGATCATGAGTTCAAAGCCAGCCTCCATAAAAGTGAGACTCGGTGAGGCGCTGTCTCTAAATAAAATACAAAACAGGGCTGGTGATGTGGCTCAGTGGTCGAGTGTCCCCAAGTTCAATCCCCAGTACCCACCCCCCAAAAAAATTCCACAAACTATTCAAACATTAACAATTTTTTTCTTTACAAAAATCATGAAGTCTTAGAATTTTAAGGAATTTATGGGAATTGGAGATTAGCAAAGCATCATTAATTGGCAAACTATGAAATCTGACATCACAAAGTTGAAGAACACGGATGATGTCTGACAAAGAGTATTATCTGTTTTAACAAAAGAGCTACAATAAAACAGGGCATTTGGGTTGCATGCTTGAGTGTCAAAAGAAGAGCTGACCCCAGCTGGACACCAGGAAGTGCACACTTAACTGGAGATGTTAACTGGGGAAAAGAGGGTTATATGCAGTTCAAGAGAAGGCTTCCCACTCCTCTGAAAGAAAAGAAAAGAAGAATGGATATGTGCACAGAGGTTGAATGAAACAAGGCTATGGCCATCTCCCAACTCTGACCCCTCCCATACACACCCTACCCCCAAGGTCCTGCAAAACCAGTGAAGTGACATACTACCCTGGCATTGCAGAAGGATATTTGGCCTTCAAATGTCATAAATAAAAAGTTATTCAGAGATCTTTCTTTCTTTTTTTCTTTTTTTTTTTTTTGCTAGAAGTAGCCAGGTGTCCAAGCAGTTTAACAGAAAGTTTGGCACCCCTGGGTGGTCATGCATGCCAAAAAAGTTTCTCAAGTTTTAAGAGTTTGGTCAAAAAACAAAACAAAACAAAGTTGACCCTAATGATGGAATTCCTTGTGGATGATGTGTTAGGAAATGTATCCCTCTAAAATTTTTGCCTTCTTCTCTCTCTGCCTCAACTCCTCACTGATATTCTGGAGAGAATATGTGATTAAAAGTAGAAAATTCCCATTATTTTCTAAGTCTTTTCTCCCTGACAAATACCCCACTCTAGGCTTATAGAAGGGGAAGAGAAAGTTAGAGACAGTTTTCCTCCTGCCCAACCCACTCGGCGGTCATCACCCTGCAGCGCCCCTTTGCAGCCATCCGGCAGGACCCTGAGGTTTAGCAAAGCTTGTCAGCAGAATCAACCTGTGCTGCGCTCACAGATCTTCCAAAAAGAGTGCTGAAAACCAGACTCAGAAGGAGCAGAACCTTAGAGAGCTCAGCGTTTTCACGGACTGTGCCTTCTTCCTCCCAGGTCGCTGGACTGGCCTGTCCCCTGGGAACGTGCGCAGGCACACTTGTCTGAGGCTGCGGACATCCGCTGTGAACAGTGTGAATTCAGGCTTCCAGGGGATTTGGGAAATTCCGATTTCTGCTCTGGAAGCTGGGGAAAGTCCCAGAAAGCAACGGATATAGTTTCCTAACGAACCGAACTGAACTGGCAGGCAGAGGAAACTCGGTGCTGCCGGGAGCCTCGGGTGCCTGCGAAAGGTCCCGCCCCACCAACGAGAGCGCGGGGCGGGGGCAAGGGCAAGGGACTTGGGCCAGGATGCTCCGTGCACCTGCCACCCTCCTACGTGACACTTTTTTTTTTCCCCTTACCAGAAAGCAAAAAAAAAAAAAAAAAAAACTACAAAATATAGCAAAGTACAAAGAAGGCACACCCACATCTCCAAAACTTTCCAGAAACTCCCCATTTTACAAGTGTCCCTGTTTTACAAGGCTGGGCTCAGGCTAGCATTTTTCCTTAGTGTGTCGTAGGTGTCCGCCTTCAAACCCAGCCAGCAGGCGCGTCTGGTGATGACTTCAGGCGACACCCGAAAAAACTTCCTAGACAAAGGTGACTTCTCCAAGGGGTAAACAAGAGTCCCCACCTCACCCCTGGACGGCTGACCAGCAGGTACCTGGGGACTCAGGGGTCCGTGAACTTTCTCGAGCGGCTGCGGCTGGAGGGAGGCGTGGGGTAGCTGTCCCCGGGGCCAGATGTGAGACGCAGAGGGTGGGTGTGCGCGCGACAGGCCCAGCGACACGCCAGGCTGCGGGTGCGCGCGGGACCCCGGGCAGCCCAACCTCCCACCCGCGAGTGCTAATAAAGCCTGGCGGAGGCGGGAAGGTTTCAGACTCCGCCCGCCCCTCGCCAGCCCCTTCCTTCTTCTGGTCACCGCCGCCAATGACGTTCCCTGGAGAAGCCCGCCCCGGTTACCGCGGAGTTCCCGTGACCCGGTGGGAGGCGCTGGGTGCCAGCAGGGACCACGCCTCCCCCAGCAGCCCACTCCGGAGAGCGCGTGACTTGAGAGTTCGCTTTTGAAAAGAAGGGAACTAGATCACTTCAACTTTAAGGGCTACTTCTCCCCCACAAAGGAGGGTTGCCCTGGGGTCACAGCAGGCTGGGAGTAGAACTCACTTTTTGGTGACTAGGAATGCAGGATCACAGTCCCCAGGGGGAGAGTAGGTCTCCTTCGCCACTGAGTGAGGACCCGCGGGATGAAATGGACAAAATTATGCACTGTAGATCCATGAATAGATCACAGTGAATTCCACCTTTATGGATACCTAGAAAGCCCCAGTTAAAATCGAGTTCAGTGGTAGAGTGCTTGCCTAGCATGTGCGAAGCCCTGGGTTCGAACCTACCACCATAAAAATTAATTAATTGATTAATTAATTAATAGAAGGACGATCTGTAGAGTAAGGGGAATAGGGGGAGGGAGGGACAGGGGGAAAGGAAGCCCTGAGGTTGAAATGGAGCAAAATATATTCCATGCATGTGTAATCGTGTCAAAATGAACCCCACTAGTAATGCAGAACCATAATGAACTAATGAAAACATTTTTTCTAAAAAAAAAAAAAAAAAGCACAGAGGATTCCAACCTACTCCTCTGCGCCTTACACCCATGCAAACAGGCCCTTGCTCTCCAGCCACACCCTTATGAGGGAAAAGCTGGTACATGATGAAATGGGAAGCATCCCCTTGGAGTCCCTCATAATTTAGAGTGAAGAAGGTAATGCTTTTCTGCCCCAAAGAGGTTCAGAATGAGCTAATCGCGGAGCAGGGCTAAAGAGGATAGGTGTCAATATTGGGACAGGAGCCAGATTCTGTCTAGGGAGAGAATGGATTGAGAATATAGGAAGGAGAACAAATTTAGCATGACTGCGGTCTTCATAGCCTACTTCATGTTTTGCGAGACATTGCACTGATTCTCATAGTCACCAAATGGAAGACACTCGTCTGGATTCTCTGCTTGATTGTAGGTCATTTTCACTGGCAATAAAATGACATGAACACATGCTTGATGCTTCCCGGTCTGAGAGGCTGTGTGGGAGGAGTGAAGTTTTGAACTTCTCTCACTGCGATAGGGATAGTCAGGAGCGTAATTATGATCAAGGGAGGGGTGCATCTACAGTGAAGCAGATTCCTGTAAGGACTGAAATTTTGTTAATCATCAACATTTATTATTTCTTGTTAGGAATAAAGACAGCCAGTGTATCTTCTTTCCGTTGAAGAACATTATTGCAGGTGGTAGATAAGAAGTGCAACTTGACTATGCCAATAAACACATAAAATAAAACAATGTTATCAGAATTGGACTTTCTGCTTCATAATTTTTTAATATTTTTTTAGTTGTAGTTAGACACATTACATTTGTTTTAGTTATTTATTTTTATGTGGTGCTGAGGATCAACCCAGGGCCTCATACGTTCTAGGCAAGCGCTCTACTTTATAATCCTGAAAGGTAAATCAAAGAGGATGTGATAATGTTTTATAAACTGCAAAGAACCAAATAAGTAGGTGTTATTAGTAACTGATAAAGAAAATGCAACAATTGCTAAAAAAGTACAAAATGCTAGAGATTGTTCTGTTTCTCTTGAGATGATTGATCTATTTGATTTTCTAAAGGACTCACAATGATACTTTAAATAAGCTATTATTTATGTATTATAATCGAATTTCATTAACAGTCATTTCCCTCTGGCAACTGGTTAAAAATAATGAATCTTCAACCTGAAAATTGAGGGAATTGAAAAAATGTCAAAGTGTGCACTGGAGAGGCTTCTATTCTTTGTGTTCTTTGAAGACTTGAGGGGACACTTGGCAGAGTTCAATTTGATGCTTATCTCCTTTCAAATAATGGGTATGGTCATTCCATCTTGGTTTTCCAGACTTCTTGAAAACTGAGAAAAAGTCCAAAAAACTTCTAAAAGCTTGAACAGGGTCAGAGCCAGAGAGAAGTGTACCTATTTCCGTAATTTCAATTTATTGAATTTTCTGAAGTTCCTTGGGAGTGTTTACAAAAGAAGCAATTTTAAATCATTCATATCTAAATTAAGTAATTTGTTTTCATTGCTCTTTCTGTTTGTGTAAAACCATTCAAACCTTATTTTTAAATGAAGAGATCATTTTACAGATTTAATAGGTTTTACTTGTTTTATTTTTATTCAGGGTCAAATTTAAATAAACAGTAAAGATCATTTTTAACAGAAAAACCTAAGCATCATTCTTTGATCATAAAAATGTCTTCACTGTGAAAGGAACACAGTGGGACTTTATGCAATGAAAGTTTACTAAGCAAATGACTAAAATGTGAGAGTCCTCCAGCAGTCACATTAGGCTGGAGAAATGCAAAACGCTCACCAGGTGCTGCCATTACAAATCTGCTGATGAGAAAATGCCTGCTGGACTGCACTTTTGAGGTCTTATTTGTAGTTTCCTTTTTTGAAAAGGAACAGAAAATTGATTCTTTTAGTTTCAATGTGGTCGTGTCATTTTAACAAACTTGTCCTTCGGTCCTAAAGTGGCTTCAAAGAATAAAACTTTCTCTTGCATTCATGGGCTGCTCACACCTTGTAAATTAGAGGTTAAACTACTTTTTTTGTGACTTTCATGAAGACTTCAGCTGAGGCCTGGGGATGTGGCTTAAGCAGTAATGCACTCGCCTGGCATGCGCGGGGCGCTGGGTTCCATCCTCAGCACCACATAAAATAAAGATGTTGTGTCCACTGAAAACTGAAAAATAAGTATTAAAAAATTCTCTCTCTCTCTCTCTCTCTCTCTCAAAAAAAAAAAAAAAAGAGTTCAGCTGGCTTTAAAGTTAGTTAACTTCACTGTACACAGTCAAACCCTCCCAGGGGTCATAAGAAGTGCACTAAATGTTTTCAGGAAGATTTTAAAAGGAACTCTTTAGGGAAATGGATACCCCCCAAAGTTGGACTTGGATTGTTCAGCAAATCAAAACAGAAGAAAACAATGGATATAAATGTTCTTCGTACAAAAATGAGAGACTTACTGTTTGAACTATCAGTAGCTAATCATTTAATTTGAAAATAATATAAAATGCCCACAATCTAACATATTTCTATCCAGCTTTGAACATTTTGAAATTTCCAGGTTGAATTGATACTAAAAGTATTTTTTTCCCTCAATTCTTCTATTCAATTGTTGTATTCCATAAATTAACTTTCCCCACCATCTTCACCCTCATCCCTATGATATAGATTCCACGTAATATCTAATTGATACTTGGTTGTTTCAGACGACAAAAAATATTTTTCCATGGAGAGAATCTTCAGAATAGTTTTTAGATACTTTCTCAAAATCCATAATTAAGCCCACTTATTTTCATTTATAATTAGAAATAAAGGAAGCTGATTTATGGTAATACAATGACATCCTATAGAAAAAGTAAGACAGAGTTGCTTGTCTATGTTTATTGCTGGTAACTGGGTTATGGGATACCTGCTCTCTATTCAGGGTGCTCTTTGCAATGAAGATAATCCCTCACCTGACTCCCTTGTCCAACTCAGACCTTCAGATTATGTGTAACTCCACTCAGGACTGCTATGCTAGTCTACAAAAACATTTGGCATTGTCTGAGATAACCTCACCTAGCTCTTCTTCCATTAATCACAAAATGAGTGACAGGGAAGAAGCCCAAATTGTTTGCATGGCAACCCAGAAGGCTTAGTGTGGGTTTCTTTTCCTTTTCCTGCATTAAAGTAGCTGGAATTAAAACGAACAATTTAGATTTATGTGGAAAGAACTTCAGTATGCACTACTAAAGGAAAAAAAAAACAAGTACAGAACAAAAATGCTACCATTTATAGAAAGATGTAGTTCAATGCATGAACTATCTGCAGAGACCCAAGAAATTGGAACTGATAATATTGATTAATCTGAGAAGAGCATGGTGGAGAGAGGGGTGAAAGGTGAGAGTGGGGGAGAGATTTCTCATTGTGTGCTTTTTCAGGCTGTTTGGATTTTATAATATTTTGCATGTATTACATTTACTTACTTATACACACATGCTCACACACACACACACACACACACTCAAACTTGATAAAAAGAGATAAGTAAGAAAATCTTTCAAGAGACACATCCCAATGCTTCAGAGCCTCAGTATTTTTCATATGATAGAAGACTGATAAAATTCAGGCTCTCAAGAGAGTAGTTAGTGATAAGGAGAAAACTGGATGCCCTAGAGACAGGATCCGTGGAGGTGAAAGAGTCAGCCTGTGTAGGGCCCTCAGTTCTCCCTGTGAGCAGTGTGGGACAGTTGCTGTGGAAGACAGAGTTCTAAGATGGCCCCCAAGGCTCCTGCCCACTGGTGAACAAGTCTGTATCAGCTCTTCCTCTGAACAGAACCTATAGATGTGATGGCATGCCACCTCTGTGATGGGTCCTAATCATTTGTCTTAGTTTCCAAAGGAAGAAGATCCAGCTGGGCTGGACCTAAGCAGGTGAGTTTTCTTTTTTAATTGGTGCATTATGACATGTAATCGTGGGCTTGGTTGTTACCTATTCCTACTAAACTGCAAATTTTATATTGGATCCACAACTAACAGCCAGCCTCCTATATGCACATAACATAATTTGGTCCATTTCATCTCCAGTACTTCTGTTTTCTCTTCCCTCCTCACTTCTCATGTCCTCCTACTCTACTGGTCTCCCATCTATCTTCTTTAGTTTCCCCAGCCGCCATTTTTTTGTTCATTTTTTTTTTCTCTCTCTCTCTAGTTTCCACACGTTCTCGACAAGCTGGTGAGTTCTTAAGAGGACGGATCTTTCAGTGAAGTCAGAGACTTCTAGCCTGGAAGCAGGCAAATGTTTCACCAGAACTCCTTGCAA